TGGAGACAGCTGGTGCTTGAGGCTGCCTGCTGTACCCTGAGTACAGGCTGCGGGGACAGGGGCCCCTGGGGCCTCCACCAGGCTGCACCCAGCGGCAGGAGTTCCCCCCTGCACCTTTGGGACTACCAGGGGTGCAGACAATTTGAGCAGTCCTTTGGGCACACGTGGGCTCTAGGTTATGATCTTGGCTGAGTGTGTGCCCCTGCTGCAGCCACCCAAAGTCCCCAGCCCAGCTTCCCTGTGGCTCTACCTGCTCCCCCTGCCGCCTACTGTTATATACTGTTATATCGTGTTATATACTGTTATTTCTATATTTTCTTTCGGCTGAGCCTCGCCCCCTTGCCAGCCCAGCAGTGGGACACATGTCCCAGCGGGGCGGGGGAGGGGGACATAGGGAGCAGCGCAGGGGGGGATCATAGTTTCTGGGCTGCCCTTTACTTCCAAAAACTGATCTTTACCATAAAAAGATTGGAGACCCCTGATCTAGGCTGAACAAAATAAAACATAACAAAACCCCTTTATTTTAAATATACTTAAATTTTAGGGAGCTATGGATTTGGGGTTAATTTTGTGGCTTTTGTTTAAAGCGTGTGTCATGTTTAGACATCTAGAGCCCTATTGTAATTCTTTAGCAATTACCTGAATTGCAGGGTAGAGGAGGGAAGGAATGGGCAGGAAAGCCACATGGTTATATCCTTCCAAGTTTTTGTATTTTCAGTTAGAAATTTATTTTAATGTACTCAAGACATTCAAGAAAAATAATGTTATAACAAAGTGATTCTAATAATAACCTATCCACATACTCCTAAATCAACACAGTGACAGAAATAGAACTGTCAACCACAATCTGAAAATAATACTAATGAAATTATCATATTTCTCTGCTTCCTATACCACTTGTTTTTCATCCCTAATTAGTCAAAGTTCTCATGTAATCAGTTCATTAAATGGACATTTAAAATATATTTTAATGAGTGTAGTAATTATTGCTGTTACCAGACTAACAACATTAGAAACCACTAGAAAGTACTGCAGGTTTAGATAAAATGTAGATGATGATTACACTGGGGTGGTATGACCTAATGATACTTTATGAGAAATCATCTACTGATCAGTGTTCATGTTCTAATAACAAAATGAAACATTTCACTTGTGAATATTTTACTTTCATGTGCCAAACTGAGTAGCTGTAAAGGAGAAATAAATAGCCTTATTCAATTCCCAGGTATAAGTCCTTTTTGTTAAGAATGTGTAAACTTGGCTTGGTTTATGTCATTTTCTACCTTACATATCTTCTTGGGAATGAGGTTTACTGGAATCTTGCCTAGGGGTTGTTTTAGGTATCAATCCTAGGCAGTAAAGTTTCAAAGGGAATTACTGATGTTGCTTTTGAGATCTCTCTCTGGTATGAGAGGCAGTATAATACAATGTCAGAGTGACTTTGGGGAAATGAGGGCTCCCTGCTCCATTTCTAGGTTTGGAGTATGCAGAACAGGAGCAGTTGGGTGGGATGTACTTGTTGATGGTGCTGTCAGGGACACTTCCAAAGCTATACAGATGAATCCTCAGGGACCATTCCCAGTCCAAAAGTGAATGACTGTCAGAGTAGCTTGAAATGTATTCTAGAAAACAGCAAGCAGGAAAGCCCTCTTTGTTTTGTTTTGTTTTTAATTAATTCAGGTAATTTTGACTATACATATGATTTTGCAACCAAACTCTCAAAACAGTTGAAAGAATATTCTTGAGCTACATAACATACTGAGCTTTTGATTGTGAACTTTGCTGATGGCATACTCTAGGAAAAGGAGTTTACAGCTTTGCTGTGTGGCTAATAACACTCATTGGCCGCAGCCTCATGAGCAGGCTCATGTGATTGCTTTAAGTAAAAAAAAGTGGCATAAATTTGTACTGCTGCTTTTTGCCCTGGTGCACACCCTTGCACATGCGGTTAATGTGGAGAAAAATGCTCCAGGTGCGGTGGGGGATGCTGAGGCAAGCACCTGCACTGCCCCAGCAGCCTTACCTAGAGTCCTGGGGGACTCCCAGGTCTCCAGCAGTGGCAATCTGGGTGTGCCATAGCCATACTTCAAGTGCTGGCCAGGCTCCAGGTTCCAGTAGCACATGCTGTCACCACATGCCCAGTCCCACTTTTTTCTGAGGGTTTTTTGGGGTTTTTTTAATTATACCAGGATTTCCTGGTATCTAATATGCAGTGTGGAGAACCAAATCACATATACAAGGTATGTTTTGTGGTGCCTTGAATGCCTTTGATGTGCTGCAGAACACACATGCATGCTTGTGTGGATGCAGCCATTGGGCCAGTTCTGACCTGATCCAGATGATCTGGGGTAAACAAAGCAAATTTTTGTTGTAAGCAATTGGTTTCCAGTTGGTTTTGATTACCACTACTTGCCCATTTATTTATTTTACAGAAAACAGAGTGAAAGTAGAAACGTGTGGGAATGGTTAGAGCTGAGCTATGTTCTTCACGTACTTCTATTTACACGTCTTCTGTTTCCACTCTTCAAGATATAAACCATTTTCTGAATGGAAAAAAATTACTTAACATTTAGTATATTAATATACTCTATATTATTAGTAGGGTTCTGTAGAGGACAGAAATTTCAGCTGGTCATGGGTTTCAAGTTTTCAAAATTTGCTTTGTTTTTACTTCGAACAAAAAACTTTTTTTTTTTTTTAAATTCTCGGTGAAGGAACAGCAAAAAATATGCTTTATTCATGACAAAGTCTCTCTTGACTGAGTTTTTGCGGGGGTTATTATATCTAATCTAATCTAATTATAAAGTAAAATGAAAAATAATCCAATATGAAAAACCCAAACATTTTTATTGGTAAGTGTTAAAAAAGGCTTTTTCACATCGTAGAAACTTTTTTTCCAGCCTTCTTTCAGAGTTACATTCCAGTAACATTGACTATATTTCTTCAAGCATTTTGCTTTCTAAGGAACTGCATATGAAATGGAATATGTTTTTCCTTTAAAATTTCTCAGTCTAATTCTAATATTTACATGTAAATTGTGGCTTGATAGTGTATTCTGGGTATTTTGTGATGATCCAAGTTAAGAAGCATATCTTTAATTGATGAACAAACAAAGTAGAATTGCACAGCTTAATATTAGTCATCTTTCCCTTTGGTTTCAGTGGCCAGGATGTTAATGTTTCTCGTAAGAACAAACTTAAATGCAAATCAAACTTGATTTAAAAAATCACAAGATTTTAATTTTTGTTTTTCTTAAGAACACTCCTCCACAATTATATATACATTAGTTATATCAAATGCTAATTTATTTTCTAAAATACTTATTGCAGTTCTCTCCCATGCTATCCTGATGAATTTTCCTTATAGAAACCCACTGCATGTGTGGGCATGCACCAGTTCAGCCTTCACAACAAGTATGCAGTTTAGTTCCCTGAGTTTAAAGCAGCTGCTCTTTGGTTTTTCAGTAGGATAGTAAGAATTAGACAGAATACACTGAAATGTATATTTCAGGTATATACTTTCAGGATTGTTTCCCTGTTTTTACTATTGAAAAACAATTTGGCAAAGTTTAAAATATAATAAAAAGAAAATGGTACTTCTGGAAATATTTTTTCACTTTAAACAATTGTGGAAACAAGCTTCAGGAACCATACTGTTCTGAAAATTGCTTTGAGGGGGAGGATGCTTATTCCTTATACATGGCTATCAAATGATTTAAACTTGCAAGGGAACAACAGTTACACCTGTTGAGGTTTTTTTTTTTTCCTCCAGTCATTGTAACAGTCATTAAGTTTAAAAGATCATAGTTGAGTTATTCCCAACATTTCATACAGTTTTATTTTAACAAGGGTATCCCTTTATGCATTTTTAAGAATGTCTTCATAGCTGTAACTTCCGTTTTCTTCATTTAACAGCATGCTTCCAATGCCTTTACAGATCACTTTTAATTCTAAAACTTGAGGAAGAAGTCTGCTCTAGAAAGAAGCTTAGGGGATTTTTTTCATGCTTTATTATCTTCTATATCAGATGGGCCCACTTTACAAGTAATATTGTGTGGGGTTTATCTGACCTCCAAACTTCCCAACACACTGGGATTAGAGAAAGTAATTGGATTCTCTCTATCTCATATACCAACACCAGTGACAATAGTTCCATGGGTCAGATTATTCTGTCAGTGATTTTTGTATAACTCTGTTTTCATCAGTATGTGTTTGCATATGGGGAACATTTCTAATTATTTTGCTTAAAATTAAATAAAATTTTCAGCTCCTTCACTTTCAAGTTTGTTGACTGGTAGAGTATCACTAAAGTAAAAATTTGTTTTTCATACTAATGCTAAGTCGCATCTAAAACTATGAATGCACATATTTTTTTTTTTTAATGTGAAGGTGCATGTTTTTAAATAGTGTTTCAGCTACTACCCATCAAAACTTCTGGGAAAAAGAAAAAAAAATATTTTTGTTCAAATACCATACATAATTTGAGCTTCTTTGATGGGGCATAATTCACATTCATTAAAATTTCAGTTAAACTACTACTTAAGTAATTATCATATATGAGAATACATTGTCTTTTCTGATGATGTACCTTGAGGTCTTTTTACATTACATGAAATAGATTAATCATTTATTAATATATTAATAAATTTTCTTGTACTATGTGTGATTTTAATTTCTACATATCCTCAAGCAAACTGACTATCTAGCAATTGCTACCATAATTATATTACAAAACAATGAAATACTCTTTGACATTTTTCATAGTGTAATATATAACTCATTTTTTATCAGTTGTCTGCTCACAAGAGACTGGCAGTGTGTTGATTATAAATCAGAAATTAAATTAAAAATGGTTTATCTTGGATGTATGTAGATTTTTCATTAGTAGAACATTTGTTGTATCCTACCTTTTTGACAGGGGAAGTCTTGCAGGTGTCTATCCTTTGTTGCTGTTAGGAAAATCTAATCCTGATCTTTCTCTTGTTTTTCTTTACTTCACAGGAGTTATCAGGACTGCCTTGCATAATATGGACAGGGAAGCCAGAGAGCATTATTCTGTTGTCATTCAAGCCAAAGATATGGCTGGGCAGGTCGGAGGGCTATCAGGGTCAACGACTGTAAATATCACACTCACTGATGTCAACGACAATCCACCAAGGTTTCCTCAGAGTATGTACAAGTTCAGGACATGTTTGATTTGAAAAACCACATTAACTTTCAGTGAAGGATGAGGTTATTAAAGAAAACTGATCATAAATCAAGTTGGCAATGAGACATTGGAAAATGATGGGATGCTCTAACTTTGTTCTGATTTTCATTTTCTTGTATGCTTTCATATGGGGTGTTGTGTAAGAATATGATACAGATCAAGCACTAAAATCAATTAAGAGTCCTTTAAACTATTTAATAAATGAATAAATAAAAAAGAATGGGATGGAGGGAGGGAACGAAAGAACACTGTAGCGTGTGTGTTCTGTTCCATCCATTTCAAAATGCATTGTTCAGAACTTCCATGATAGCATGGTGTTAATTCACCAAGCATGTTGTTCCTATGAAACAGAACAGGAAAAGGAAAGCTTCCTTCCTTAATATATAAGATTTAAATCAGCATGCACATTCACATGCCTATCCCCACCCTTGAGATTCCATTTCTTTCTCCATCTTTAACATGTCTATGCAAAATGTATAAATTGCTTGTAAGTTAAAACACAATACTAGTATGGCTGTTGGTAACTGTTATAGGGTGGTCTGTTCCCCTTAAGGAGGGGTGACTAGCCCCTCCTTAAGGACATTCAGCTGTGGGACATTTTGCTAATGAAAAACTGTCCCACTGGGAGCTTAAAATCCAAAGGAGAGAAGAGAAGGGACAGCCTTTGAGGGAACAGCTTGCAAGGAGAAGCTATTCTGCTGTGTTGGGGAGAAGCCGAGTGGGAAGTACTTCTCTCATAATGTCCAGCGAGGACAGAGGATTTTGTTTTTTTCTGTTTGCGTTGCTAAAGACTAAAGTTTATTTGGTGGGACTAATAGTAAAGCTAACTGACTTGTGAAGGGCAGCAGGTTCAAGGGCCCACCTATAATAACCTACAATAAATCCTGCTTTTATTTTCCTACTTAAATGAAGTATGGATACAAGATTTTCAGAAACGGAACACTGGCATTTTGTGTATCTGATGAATGATCTTGTTATAAGAATATATTAATGTGATTATTTATAGAAAATTAATTCACATCCACCATATTGCATGTCTATAAGTATAGACTTAACAGACCTGAGCAACAGATTCCAGGAATTCTCATTTTGGCCAATGATTAATTTAGGGGTTTGGCAGGGTAAAATGGCTCAGGATTATGAATATCATAAGTTAGATTTAAATATTGTTTCAGCCACTGGAGAACAGCTTTACCAATGGGAATAATGTTAAGCTATTTAAAGAAAAAGGTTTATAAGATTATCAAGATCCAAAAAAAAAAAAAAAAACCCACAAAGCTCCCTGGCAGCGGATAGTCTAAAATCTGGCCATCAATATGAAAACTCATCAAAGGTGTTGTAATAACAAATATTTTTCCTGTGTTTTTCAGACATAGAATATAGAGCTTTTGAAATCTAGCCAAGAAAATGGTGAATTTAGTTTTCTGTCCCATAAAACTAGGAAAATAATCACCATATTTAACACTCAATTGGAAAGGTAAATGGTAAGGCATATATCTGAGCAATTGTTACATTTAGACATCTTAATTAGAAGAAAAAAAGTCTCAGCTTGTCATGATGTGTATAAATTCAGGGACAAGGGAAGGCAAAAATTTAATCAAAACATAGCAGCTTTGGAGAGCTTGCTGGATTGTTTTGTTTCATTGGAGGAGGAAGTGTGACACTAAACAGACATGAATGGAGATGTGTGCGCACATGTTTATGTGTGCATGTATATATTTCCATTTATTTGCATGTTGGAGGAGATTCTGTAGAGAAATTTAAATCTATTTATGTGTATTTCAATATTTTTATGGCGGCAAAGACATAGCATTTTAAAAAACATCTCTCTCATCTAACACATTAGACACTCATTAGGTACCAGTGCAAGACTAGGAAACAGCTGCTTTCATGAGACATAAGTCTTCCCTTTTTTGGAAAATATTTTTCCTGAAATGTGTATTGTAAAAAGGCAAACACCCACTGTAGCTTCTCTGAAGCAGAATTTCCACACTGTATAATTGGCTGTAAGAGCTTATTTACACCTTCTCAACCAATTGAATTGCATCCCACAATCTTGGAACTAAAAATCTTTGCAAATCCATGTTTGAAATATAATTGTGTATTGCCAACACCTGGACAGTACTCTGAGGTGTGGCCTTTGTAACATGAAATATCATGTTAGACACGCACATCATTAGGACAAAACTAATTTCATCTTATATTTTTATTCTGTTCTGTGCTTCATGTTTCTTTATGCTTCTGGCATCTGTCTCCTTACCATGCAGGCTATTATTTTGGACTACCTGTTAGCAGGCAGTGTTGCTCCTTTCAGGTGATGCTAAGTGAATACTCATGGCGCATATCAGAGATGGAAGTTGCCCTTCAGCCAGGGTTATGGGATGAATAACTTTACTGCAGTACCTGTGTGATCAGCCAAGCTTAAAGTGAATTCATAGGCAGGACTTCATATTCCTTTATTGTTGCCTTTTCTTTTTTGTGACAGTCAGTGAATGCCCTGTTAAGTTCTGAGCCTGACTATATCACATGTGCTATACTTCAGCGTATGTGGGAAGGGTGCCTGCTTGGAGCTTTTATTACTTATGTCTCTCTTGTTTGAAGTGAATATATTACTATTTTTAAATTTTAGGACCACATCCTAGAATTACTCTATTCTTCTTCCATAGTCAAAAAAACAAGTGAAAGCTAAGAGCTAGCATGTTCCAAGGGGTGTCCTCAATCAAAAAAAGGTTGGAAACCACAGAATTAAAACACAGAATTGATGTCCTTTCCCCACACAAAGACAGGCTTATTAGTAGGAAAAGAACATCACAGGTGATGGAGAATTATAACAGCCACCATGAATTTAAGGTAGCTTTAGAAGCAGATACTATTTAAAAAATGTGTCTTTTTTTTCTGTTTCAAAAAAATGTCAAAGGCCACTAGGCCATACATGCAGTTGCTACTAAACTTACATTTATATGTGATTTCAATATTTACTTATCTTATGACTTTTAAAAAAATCAATCACATGTATACACTTTTATGCAAAATTAGCTTCAAAGTTCCCTCTTTTTTTTTTTTTTTCTTTTTTTTTTTTTAACTTGTTCTATGAGGAGGAGAGGTAGCTAGAATTCTTCTGGAAAACACTCAAAACTCAAAAACACTTGTATGACCATGCAATGTTTTTAGGAAACCAAACAGTCCAAGTCACTAGGGAGTATTAGGTCTATTATAAGTAGCCTGTTTTGATTGTATGGTTTTACTGTTATTAAATATTAATTTATAGATACATACATGTAATTTGTATGATAGTCACACTGAATATTTTTGGTACAAACTGGTGTTGTGTTTCTTTTGTGCATAAAATTATAACCTTATTTCAGCTAACCTATATGTTGTTTGTATTTTAGTTCCAAAAGTAGATCACTTGAATATTTCATGTTCAATTTACCTATTTTCTAATTTGTATTAGAAATCATCAGATGCAATAGATCTCCAAGATACTTAACTTTAATTAGTCTTTCTTTAAAGTAGCAAATATAATGCAACTTAAAGGTAAGCCAGATGGCAGTTGAACTATCTAGGTTCATTTTTTATGAATGTTCAGGACAGTTTTTCTCCAGTATTTTTAGTGTGTGGAAAGTAAAGAGATTGGGAGATAGTCAGAAAGAAAAACGAAATAAGTCCCTATTAGACTATTTTATTATACAGTCTGTTAAAATTTACCTGAATGAAATCTGTCAGGCTAAAGAGCAACAACTTGCTGTCTAAACATGAGACAGTTAGTTCATTTTACATCCTTGTAAGAACTATTTTGAATGACCTGCCTAACCAAGTTGCTGAAGCAAAGACTTTAGGTTATTTAGAAATCAATTATAATCAATACCACCCTGGGGGAATAGCATATTAAAAGGGACAAACCTCAATTGTCTGATGGAATTTTACCATTTCCACTGTGTTTTGCATTCTTAATATGCTAAAACCAATTGATAATATGAGAGTTGGAGAAGTAGAAGCATATATAACACACAAAAATATAAAGTAGCTAAAAGTTGAGAGCCAATGGGAGCTCTGTGTCTAAGCAACTAATTGGCAACAATTTATGTGATGAATTTGTCTTCTCTGCAGATTATGTTAAGGAGATCTGGATTTTCTTGTGTGTATTAAATTGGCCAAGCAAGTTGGTTTTGAATTTAAGTTACACTACTGTTTAAATATTATTCAGAAATCCAATAGGATATGGTTAACTGTATTTGGTCACAAGAATCTCATAATATGGTTTCTGTGCATAGTCGAAAAAATGTAATTCAGGTAATCAGGATTTCACTATGAATACTTAATTGCACTTAAATTCTAAAATTCCCTTTAAATAAATATTAATATTAATAACATTTTATCACACAAATAGTGGTGGAAATTAAGCATAAAAGGGGAGTCAGATGACCAAAAGAATATATATTTAAATTAGAATTAATACTTGGGGAAAAATGCTTGCTTTATTTACCCATATATAGTATCTGTTTGTTTCTGTATGGAAGTTAGAGGCTTGGGGAATTTTGTTTTATTTTTATTTCCTTTGACAGAACCTCATCCTTGTGGTTTTTTACATGTGGCATAGATAAGCGTCACATATTAATTATATGTCCCAATCAAACAAGAACATTTCAAAGGAAGCTTTAGTGAAAATAAATTAAATTTTTATTTCACCACAAACTAAACATTCATGACTGACAAATTTGGATGAAAGAGGAAATACTGTTCTAGGTAGAGGAGATAGCTTGTGTGTTTTTTCCAGGGAACAAAAATTTATAAATATGCTTTCTAATCCATCACCACTGTTACAAATTCTTTCTCCTGCACAAGTCCCTCATTTTAGCCAATGGGTTCCATGTGAATGCAGTGAACTGCAAGCATGCAGCAAGTGAAGTCTAGGAAGAACATTGTATTAGTTTTCAGATCTTAGATGTGGTTTATCAGT